CACGCACTGCAGCAGCCAGGAGCCTGCCTGCCCTCTTGTCTTCCTTCCGTGGAAAGGGCCAGGCCCTGTCTTGCTGCTGGGTAACCCTGCCTTGACCGCTGCTGTCCCGGGGCCGAGCTCCATGGCCTGTCGGGGCGAGGCTGGGGCAGCTTGGTCTCCGCTCTGCAGAATGTGGACTACTGCGTCATGGTGGCCGGGATCCCCAACGTGGGCAAGTCCTCCCTCATCAACTCCCTGCGGAGGCAGCACCTCAGGAAAGGTAGTGGGGCAGTGGCGTCCTCGGGGACATGCCCAGCTGGGTCCTGCTCTGTGCAGTGCTGGGGGAGGAGTGGCCCTGGCCGGCCATCACTGCCCACCAGAGAGAGTGGTGCGTGTGCTGAGTCCCCAAGCCACTGTGCCTGGCTTGAGCAGCTGCCCCCTGTGAGTGAGTGTGCGGCTGAGTGTGCAGTGACCACAGCCTGGGAGCTCCCTGGGCTTTGGGAGTTTGCGCTTTGGCCTGCAGGTGCTCAGGTTCTGCCGTGTGGGTTCGATCCCAGCCACAGCCCTCTGTCCTGCAGGAAAAGCCACGCGGGTGGGCGGTGAGCCTGGAATCACCAGAGCTGTGACCTCCAGAATTCAGGTGGGTCCCTTGGCTAGGCTTGGGGCGTGCCTGGAGCTGTGCAGGCACCACTGCTGACTGCTCATAGCTGCCACCTGCTACTGAGCAACCCCTCCCCCCCAGGTGTCTGAGCGGCCGCTGGTGTTCCTGTTGGACACCCCTGGAGTGCTGGCTCCTCGGATCGAGAGTGTGGAGACGGGCTTGAAGCTGGCCCTGTGTGGTGAGCCAGGACCAGGGTAGGGCCAGGGTGGGTCCCCCTCCGCCTCAGGGCTCTGCCCGCCAACCGCCCTGCTCGCTGGGAATGCTTCTTAGAGCTTGAGTGGCCTGGGCTGCCCCAAGTGCTCACAGCTGTGGCCTCACTGGCATGAGAGCACAGGGCAGAGGGGTCAGGCCACGAGGCCACGGCAGGCACCAGGGAGAAGGTTCCAGAAGGCAGCACCTCCTGCCCTGCGTAGCCTCTCCTCTGGAGCATGGGTGTCGCTGGCCAGGCCGTCTCACACACTCACCTCTGCTCCCAGGAACCTTGCTGGATCACCTGGTCGGGGAGGAGACCATGGCCGACTACCTCCTTCACACCCTCAACGAACACCGGCTCCTAGGGTGAGTTGCCGTGTGGGGCAGGCAGCCCCTCCTCTCGCGTCCTGGACAAACACACTTTCACTAAGACAGCGTTCTGGGTCATTGCGTTGATACGGTAACCTGCACCCTAACACCTGTGACCTGAGAGGTTTTTCACCAGGGGTCACGGCTATGAAACCGTCACATGATGCGGAAAACAGCCCCCGACCCTGGTCTGTGCTGCTGTGGGCTGGCTCCTGCCTGCCCTCGCTCCGTTTCTGTCGCTGCAGGGTCATTTGCATTTTCTAGAACTTGATCTGAGCACGCAGGGTGTGCTCTGTCCCCTGGGCATCTGTCCTTGGCGCTGCTCTCAGGGTCTTGCGGCCCACCCACCTCGCAAGTCAAGCGCAGCCCGTTCGTGTGCAGGTGGGGCTCTCTCTGGGTAAGCGCCAGGCTGTGGGGTGCCGGAGCCTGCTCCCTGGGCGTCTGCATCATGGGGAAAGCTGCCGAGTTGTTTGCCGAGCAGAAGGGAACTGGGACGTGGGTTCCCCACACTCCTCCCACCCCCAGCACCGGTGTGGCCTGTGCTTCTGCGGCCCCTGACCCCAGAGGAGGGGCAGCGTCTGTCCATTGAGAGCATCCACGTCCCCTCTGGGGACGTGCTCGGTCTTTTCCTGCCTTTAAAACTAAGTTTTTGTTTCTCGTTAGATTGTCGTAGTAGTTCTGGGTACAGTCTGGATTTAAGTCCTTAATCAGAGGGGTGACTTGTAAATATTTTCTCTGGGTCAATAGCTCTTATTTATTTATTTATTTTTAACATGTAATTTATTTGAGAGACTGAGAGACAGGGAGAAGCAGGCACACAGGGCACTCAACGCCCACTTAGGGAGCTGGCTGGGTCCAGCGGCCACGGCGCCACTGCCCATAGCCGAGTCCCGTCTGGCTCCTGACTCAGTGCAGACTCTGGGGGCAGCAGTGATGGCTCAGGGGCTGGGTCCCTGCCTCCCACAGGGGAGACGTGGACGGAGTTAAGGCAGTGCAGGCCTCAGGGTCTGCGTTAGAGGGGACCGGCAGGAGCTGAGCTGGGCACTGCCCCAGGCACCTGATGGGGACGCCAGCATCATTGCTAGGCTGTGCACCTGCCCCTCCATATCTGGAGCTGCTTTTGAGAACCAGAAATAGGTCAGTTGTGTGTGTGTGAATAGTGTGAGAACAGTTGTGTGTGTGTGTGAACAGTTGTGTGTGTGTGAACAGTTGTGTGTGAGAATAGTGTGAGAACAGTTGTGTGTAAACAGTTTGAGAACAGTTGTGTGGCTGGTGGGTTGCGGTCAGCTGTCTGTAATAGTTTCTAAGTCCCGGATATCTTGTTACTTTTCTTTGTTGATACAATTATCTTCCTTTTCCTTCATTGGTTTTCATTTGGCTTGAAAGGCAGAGAGGCAGAGACAGATGGGAGAGATCCCTGTCCGCTGGTTCCCTCCCCCACTTCACACCACAGCCAGAGCTGGGCCAGGCCAGAGCTGGAAGGCAGGAAGGGTGGCGGAGACCCAGTACTGGGGCCGCCATCACCTGCTGCCGCCCAGAACACTCGTTAGCCGAAAACGGGTGAGAAGAGGATCCGGGAGTCAGCCCAGGCCCCTGCTGTGGGTGCTGGGGTCCCCACGCGGTCTGTCAGAGAGCTCCAGGCCCCAGGAAGATGCCAGCTGCCCTGGTGTCACCCGCGGGGCCCCTGCTGCCTGGGGAGAGCCCGCCCACTGGCGCCTCTGCTGCTCCCCTGCTTTTCCTCTCTTGGAACATTCTAGATTGACGGGTTTCTCGCCCCTCACTGGTTTGTTTCTGGTGGGAAGCCTGGCCCCTCTGAGATGTTCTCTTCATTTTCGTTCTCTTCATCCGGTGTGAGCAGCTCGAGGACCCTGGCCTGGGTGCGGTTTCTTCTGTGTTTCCCGGGCTTCTGGGGTCTGTGGCCTCATGGCTTCCTCGGATTAGAGAACTCTGACCACATTTCTGCCCCACAGCTTCTCCCCGTCCTGCCTTTGGGACTGTCCTCAGTCTGCTCGTTCTCTCCTGGAACGTCTGAGTCCCCCCCCCCCCCCCCCCAGTTGTCTTCCACAGCGCCTTTAGTGCATGGCATCATCGTGTGGGGCGCATGCAGCGACAGGCGGGTGTCTGTCGATGCCTGGGCCACTTCTGGCTGGACGTCAGTGGCTGAGCTGTTCCTCGTTATGCTTCTGATTTCTTGCTTTGTGGCCTGGAAATATTTTTCCTAAGATTGATTGATTTATCTGGAGGGCAGAGAGGGAGGGAGGGAGGCGGGGGCGGGTCTTTGTCTGATGATTCACCCCCCACGTGGCCACAGCAGCCAGGGTTGGTCCAGGGTGAAGCCAGGAGCCTGGAGCTTCTTTCTGGCCTCCCACGTGGGTGCAGGGGCCCGAGCCCTTGCCCTGTCCTCCACTGCCTTCCCAGGCCATTAGGGAGCTGGATCGGAAGTGGAGCAGCACTCTGCTGGGGGTGGGGGCTTCACAGGCGCAGCTTAGCTTGTGCCTTGTGCTGGCCCCGGGTCTGGTATTCTTGATGGGATGCCAGGCACTCGTTAGGTGCTGGGTATCCCTGACCTGTAGTGTTCCGGAGCGGGACAGCTGAGTATTGGGAAGCAGTCTGGTCCTCGTGGCAGACCCGGCTGCTGCCAAGTCTGGGGAGTGGTTAGCCTCAGGCCAGCACCTCCTGCGTGTGGGCGACAGGGGCTGGGCCAGCTGACTGGGCCGTGTCCATGCAGGTACGTGCAGCACTACGGGCTGGGCGGCACCTGCCAGGACACAGGGCACCTGCTGAAGAGCGTGGCCGTGAGGCTGGGGAAGACGCGGAAGGTGAAGGCGCTCACAGGCACAGGTGAGTGGGGCCCCCGTCACCCAGCGGGACCCTGGCTGCTGTGGGGGCTGAGTGGCGAGTGGCTCTTGAGAGAGGGGTTGTGCTGTGAGCCTCAGAGGGTGGGACTGGCCCTGCCCGTGGGCCTCCCCAGGCTCAGTGGGTAGGGGCTGAGCCCACCCTCTGGGGTGTCCTCCCTCACCCCCTTCCCTGTCCCCAGGTGACGTGAATGTCGTGCAGCCCAACTATGCCGCTGCAGCCCGCGACTTCCTCCAGGCCTTCCGCAGCGGGCAGCTGGGTCCTGTGATGCTGGACCGGGACCTCCTGCGTGGCCATCCCCCGGCCGAGACAGAGGCCTGACTGGAGCTCCTGCTGGCCCATGAGCCATGAGCTCTGAGCGGTCCTGCTCGCCAGCCAGGGGGACACCTGTGCTGCATAAAGTTTTGAACTGAGCGCCGCCTCCTGTCGGCCCTGTCACTGTGCGCGTCACCCAGCAGTGGGCCCTGTCACTGCACACGTCACCCAGCAGGGGGCCCTGTCACTGCATGCGTCACCCAGCAGTGTCGGCCCTGTCACTGTGTGCGTCACCCAGCAGTGTCGGCCCTGTCACTGTGCGTGTCACCCAGCAGTGGGCCCTGTCACTGCACTTGTCACCCAGCAGTGGGCCCTGTCACTGCACTCATCACCCAGCAGTGGGCTCTGTCACGCACTCGTCACCCAGCAGTGGGCTCTGTCACTGCATTCGTCACCCAGCAGTGTGGGCCTGTCTCTGCACTCGTCACCCAGCAGTGTGGGCCCTGTCATTGCACTCATCACCCAGTAGTGGGCCCTGTCACTGTGTGCATCACCCAGCAGTGATGGCCTTGTCACTGTGCGTGTCACCCAGGAGTGGGCCCTGTCACTGTGCACGTCACCCAGCAGTGGTAGCCAGGAGGGAGCAGGGTGGGGGCTCGGCTGTGACCTGTGGCCAGCAGTCCTCCAGTCGCCAGCACAAGTTTATTTCACGATCAAGGTTACTATGAAGTGTGCACAGGAGCAGACAGAGCCTCTGAACATGGGGACCCTTGGGTGCCCTGGGGCCTCAGCCTCCCTGCTGCCTGCAGGTGGGAGGGTCAGCACGGACAGCAGAGTCCGCAGGCCTGCGAGCACCTTGTAGCCCCAGACAGTGGGACCCTGGTTTCGTAGCAGCCTGCACTCCGGGAGAAGAGCAAGGAGGTGGGGTGGTGTTGGGGCCTGGACCTCGCCAGTTCCTTCGGCCTCATCGGCCCAGTAGGTGGCCTGGCCACCTGGTGGTTTGCCAGCATCTTGGCTGGTCCTCCTGCCCTGGCCAGCAAGGGGAGAGGGAGGTGCTCAGATTCGCGACTGTGCCAGATGCTGATGTCGGGCTGCTGTGCAAAACTGTCACCGGAGAGTGGTGTTTCCACCGGTCTGGAACACTGACGGCTTGCAGTTGTGCTGTGCAGTTGTTGGGCGGGGTCTCCCTGTGTAAGTCCCTGGGTGCTGGCTGTGGGTAGCATCCGGCTTGTCTGGGAGGGCTGGAGAAGCTGCAGCCATGGCACCAGGCGCTGGCCACAAGGGGGACAGGGCAGGGCACTGGCCTGCAGCTCAGGGTCCTGGCACCTGGAGGAGGAAGTGGCCCAGGGTCCAGCTGGCAGCTTCAGAGCCCCTCCTGTCCAGAGCCACAGCCAGCTGGGGAGAGGCTGTGTCTACCAGCTGACTCCAGGCCCCGTGGTTCCGGGGGTGGGGGTGAGGGGCTGGGTCCCAGGAGCCAAGTGAGGGCAGGCGCTCCCTGCAGCACCAGAGGTGAGGTCAGGGCCGTGGGCTGCCCATCCTGCCTCAGAGTGGCCGGGGGACAGGAGCTGGGGAGCCTCGTACTTGTGCCTCTGGGAGGCCACTTGGGGCATCAGCCCTGGCCTTGTCATGTCCCTGAATGGTCAGGCACCGTGGTGATGGTCGTGGTTGTGGTGCTGGGCCAAGGCTGGTTCCCACATCACCCTGCACCTGCTGTGGCCTGGGCCCCACTGCGGCCGCCTCCCAGAGCCTGCTGGAGGGCATGAGCGCCTGGCCTTAGGCTTTCAGCTGGACCTCGCACTTGGCCTCAGGCCCATTGGCACAGGCTGGTCCTGCTTTTAGGAAAGGGGCTGCTCCTGGTGATGTGGGAGCCTCTTGGGCTATGCTCAGGGAGACGTCTCGTGGGCCGCTGTGGTCCAAGCACAGGCCAGCAGTTCCAGGGAAGTGAAATGAACATTAGAGCTGAGTGCTTGGGGGCAGGGAGTCGCTGGCACAGCAGCCTCTGTAGGTGGGCACGGTGTGTGCCGGGGGCCCTGGCAGTCCACGTTTCAGACGAGCCTGCCTTGAGACCCTCCTGGTCACCTGCTCTGGGAGGGCAGAGGCCCCTGAGCCTTCCACTACAGCCTGGCTGAGCCTCTCCCCTGTCCTGCCCACATGCTGAGGTCTGCCAGAGGGATGCCCGGGAGCCCCTGGGGGCACCGCCAGCCCTACTGGAGGTCGTCTCTGCCTGGAGGTCAGTGCAGTCCGCACCTCCTGTGTTCAGGGTGCCCCAGGGCAGCAGGGGTCTGGGTATCGGGTTGGTGCCTGCTCTTCCCAGGGCCACCTGCCTTCCTGGCTGGGAGCACCCTAACATCTTGGCTCCTGGTGGAGGTTCGTGACGGGCCTGGGCAAGAGGGTGGGCAGTGGAGGGGAGGGACGCTCAGCGCCGGGGGCCTCTGGGGTGGGACTACCGGGATACGGGATGCGTGGGCCAGGTTGGAGCTGGGCCCGGAGTCAGCTTGTCCTAGGGCCGCGGCAACCGCAGGGCGAGGGCGCCACCCAGCAGCAGGTAGAGGCGCGGGCCCCGCGAGCATCCCGCGCCTGAAGTCCAGGTCCAGTAGCTGTAAACGCCCGTCCCGTTACCTCCGGACGCCAAGTCCTCCTCGTCCGGGCCGCGCTCCCCCGGCCCCGCCGCGCGCCTCCAGCCGGGTCCCGCGGCCAAGCCCGCGGCTGCTCCCGCTGCCGCCCCGGCTGCTGCCCCCGCCGCCGCCACGCGCGGGGAGGAGCCGTAGCGGGGCGCCGGCCGCACGCGCACCCTCGAGGTCCCGCGCGCGCCCCCGCGGATCCCGCCCCGGGCGCTGCCCCGCGCCCCGCCTCGGCCTCCCTTGGCCGCGCCGCCGTCGCAGAGGAACGCAGCGGCCAGCAGCAGGGCCCAGCACGTCGCGGCAGTCCAGTTCATGTTTTGGCGACGAAGCCTGCGGGCAGAGCGGGGAGGGGCTTAGCTTCCGCGCGGGGTGGAGGCGGGGCAGGGAGCCGCAGGGCAGGGTGTATGGGGGGGCTTTCACTTGGGGTTGGGGGGGTCCATTACTGAGCAGGGGTGCGGGGAGTGCCTGGGATGGTGGTGTTGGGCGCCTGCTGCTGGGGCGCTCCAGCCGGGAAAGGAGCCCCACAGCCTGCGCGCGAGTGCTCAGGAGGCGGCGGTCATACTTGGCGCGGGTGTCCCTGGAAGGGGTCATGCGCCCGACTCTCTGGCTCGGAGCCTGCGGGAAGAGGCCCTGGTGGCGCGCGCCGGGCGCGGGGCCAGAGCTGGGTTCGGGCCTCGCCGGGGCGCAGAGGACCCGGCTGGGGACACCGTTCACCCACCGCGCAGGCCGGACCTGGAGATGGTCCCTTCCCACCCCTGCCCGGCTCTCCAGCCTCCCTTGGCGCCGGGAGCGGGGACGCGGGCGGGGCTGAGCGGGCTCGGGTCGCGGCGATCCGCGCGGCCGCTGCTGCTTCTCCGCGCCAGGCGCCCGCCCTCTCCCAGCCTCCCGGCCCGCCCGGATCCCACCACTGGGCCTTACCCACCGCGGGCCTCGGTAGCTCCAGGGGCCGCGGCCCGGCGGCAAGGGGCGGGCGGTGGCGAGCCCCTCTCCGGAGCACGGAGCCGGGTGCCTGGGGTCTGCGCGAGGCCTCCGCCCTAGGATGGGGCGGGCAGAACGGAGGCGCATCCCCGGAGACAGGAGGGAGGAGAGATAGGCAGGTTCGGGGGAGGCGCAGCCCCTCGCGCCGCCCGCCTCTTCCTCGCCCTCGCTGCTAGCCCGCGCGCTCCCGCGCGCGTCAGCCTCACGCAGGTGCCCTCACCGCTCCCGGCGACCCCTCCCCACTTTCCCACACCCTTGCCCCTACCGCAGGGAGCCGGTGGCTGGGTCCGGGGACTGAGGCTGGGGCTCGCGGTGTCCGCCCCGTGCCCTGCACCCCTGTCGTCCCTAGGCCTGCTGTTGGGGCGTTTAGGCGTGTTTTCCGCCAGCCGGCCATCTTCCAGGGGCGCGGATTCTCAGTTCTGGTAGCAGAGCGGGGCCGGGTGGTGCAGAGGCTTTCCGCAGGGGCCTTGCCGCGCGCCTGAGCGGCCAGCATTGCCCTGGCGCCAGCTCTGGTCCCGTTTTCAGGGCAGACCCGTGGGCAGCTCCTCGGCCTGGCGCTACAGATGCCTTCTGCAGCCCTGCTGTGCCCCCACGGGGACCCTCGGTGAGGCCATTCCCTGCCATATCCACTGCTCAGACCCGAGGGCCCTCAGGGGTTAGCAAGCTGAGTGATCACCGGTTCCTGCCCAGCTGGGCTCTGGCTTCCTGACTTGTTGATCAGCGCTCAGGTGACACAGGTGGCTATGGGGTGAATGTGCTCTGGGCGCCTCTGCTCCCTGTCCCCCAGCTGACTCCACCTGGCCTCCGGGCAGCCCCTCTGCTGGGTCCCACATGGGCCACGCTGCCCCAGCCCTTCAGGGCCTGAGGTCCTTGTCTGTGTGTGTGGGTGCTGCTGCTGACCTCTGCTCTCCCACATGGAAGTGTCCAGAACATCTGATGAATGACGAGTGAGTTTCTGTCTGACTTCCTGGATGAGTCAAACAAAAACATTCTGGGAATAAAAAACAAACTTCTGATTAGTGGTGGCGGAGGCTTGGGGAGAAAGCTCTTCCTGGGTGGGTGTGGACAGCAGGGAGCTTTGAACCCCTGTCGGCAGAGCTGGGCGAGGCAGTGCTGGGAGTGGCAGGGCTCCCTGCTCTGGGGGGCTGGCCTAGCAGGTGGTTCAGTGTCCCCCCCACCTTCGGACCTGATGAGAATTCCAGGCAGGGCGCTGACCACAGGCAGAAGGAGGCGTCCTGGGGAGACAGGAGAGTAAATCCTCTCCTTTCTGGGCTGAAGGAGGAGGTGTTGGCCCATCGGGTGCTGAGGGGCTGTAGCGAAGGACCCGGCACAGCTGTGATGGTGACACTGAGAGATGGTCACTGCAGGTGGCCTGGCTCAGCTGACTCCCAGGAGACAAGGAGGCTGCTGGGGGCCCCGCCGTGGTTGAGCCACTCAGCACTCATCCCCCTAAGCTGGGAGCCAGGAGCCAGGAGCCAGGAGCCAGGAGCCAGGAGCTTCATCTGGGTCTCTCACATGGGTGCAGGGGCCCAAGGGCCTGGGCCATCTTCTGCTGCTTTCCCAGGCCATTAGCAAGGAGCTGGATCAGAAGTGGAGCAGCCAGGGCTGGAACCTAGGGTACTGGTGTTGCCAATGGAAGCTTAGCCCATCACAGCACAGCGCCAGCCTCTGTGTTGGTGTCTTAACCCCAGGGCCTCGGAGTGTGACTGGGGGGTATGAGCTCACTAGGCTGGGCCTGAGCCCCCTGACTAGGGGCCTTGGGGTGAGGACAGGGACACACAGGGGTAGCATGTGAGGATGGGACACCATGGAAGGAGGCCCCACAGTGAGAACATAAGTTTTTTTTTTTTTTTTTTAAGATTCACTTCATTTATCTGAGAGAATTACAGAGAGAGAGGTAGAGAGAGAGAGAGAGAGAGAGAGAGTCAGTCTTCCATTTTCTTGCTGGTTCACTCCCCAGATGGCTGCAATGGCCGGAACTGAGCTGATCCGAAGCCAGGAGTCAGGAGCTTCTTCCAAGTCTCCCATGCAGGTGCAGGGGCCCAAGCACCTGGGCCATCTTCCGCTGCTTTCTCAGGCCATCAGCAGGGAGCTGGATCAGAAGTGCAGCAGCCAGGGCTTGACCTGGCATCCATATGGGATGCTGGCACTGCAGGCCAGGACTTTACCTGCTACACCACAGTGCCAGCCCCAGCTTTGGCTGTTTATGCTGTTTATGGTAGTAGCAAACTAACATAGAACCAAGGGATTCTCAAGTCTGTATGGAAAATAAGGGCCTAAAATAAT